GGGGGGGGCTCGGGCTGCATGTGTGGGAGGGGGGGGGGCTTGGAGCTGGACCACATGCTGGGGGGGTGGACTGGGGGGCGATGTTGTTCAGCTTGGGGTAGTCAATGAGGTCGGGCCGGTGCCGGTGGATGAGCGCGCAGAGTCCCAGGCCATCCTTCCAGCTGCGCCGGTGGAGAAGAGGAGGACACGGGTCAATGTGAGCAGAGAAGGCAGCAGGGTCTGCCCGGCCGGACCTTCAGGCCGAGGGGCCCTCACTGCTTCATGTCCGACTTAACGCACCCAAGGCCCCAGGGACCGCCGCCCTCCCCTCCCAGCGACCTGTGCCCCTTCCTCGGACACCAGTCTTCATCCCGGGGTCCCCACGGACTGCCGCCCCCTGGGTGTCCGCTTCCCATGTTCAGCTCTGGGCCCCCCTTGCCTGTCCCCCTCCCCGTTGCCTCCTGGGCTGGTTCTGTGCTGGGAGCACCGGGAGGGACCAGGAGGAAGACAGCTGGCGCCTCTGTCACTGTCCCTCCATCCCGACTGCTTCCTGCCCTCTGCCTTCAGGCTCTGTTCTGGACCAGGGTCAGCCCACTGGCCACGCCCAGGGATGCCAACCCTGACATGCCCAGCACACACGTTCCTCCCAGGGTTCTCACATTCCTAAAAGGCCAACCTTGGTCCCAGGTAGCCTCTGTCCTTCCTCATAAAGCAATTTTCAAAATATACTTTGATTTATTTCAGAGAGGAAGGAAGGGAGGGAGGAACACCAATGATGAGAGAAAATCATCGATGGGCTGCCTCCTGCAGGTCCCCCACTGGGGATCAAGCCTGCAACCCAGGCATGTGCCCTGACAGGGAATCAAACCGTGACCTCCTGGTTCAGAAGTCAATGCTCAACCACTGATCCACACCGGCCGGGCTCCTACTTCACTTGAATTCCAACACACGAAGCTGATTCGGGAGCAGAAGGACCGGGGTGTGGCCAGGCCCTGGGATCTCAGACCTGCTTGGTCTCTCCTCCCCACTGAGGAGCCATCCTGCGCCATCACCCAGGTGGGGTGCAGGCCCGGGAGGGCGGCTTCTCACCCCCATGTCCTGAAGGCCCCGTCTGGCGCCACATACCACCCACTCACTCACTCACTCAGCTGTGTTACCAGCATCCCTCACCTGAGTCACATGGTTCCCCTGCGAAACCCTAAACCAGGGGTCCTCAAACTTTTTAAACAGGGGGCCAGTTCACTGTCCCTCAGACCGTTGGAGGGCCGGACTATAGTTTAAAAAAAAAACTATGAACAAATTCCTATGCACACTGCACAGATCTTATTTTGAAGTAAAAAAACAAAACGGGAACAAATACAATATTTGTATTTGCATGTGGCCCGCGGGCCGAAGTTTGAGGACCCCTGCCCTAAACCTCCAGCCGAAGTCCTGCTACGAACATGAATGCCCTCAGCGAGAGGCGCAGCCACGGGTGCGGACACACACGGCGCCCCCGCCTGGGGCGCCCCGCGCTCACCTGGTGTGGAAGTTCTGAATGTTGACGTTGCGGTAAGGAGCGGTTTTCCGCTGACACCACAGCAGCAGGCCTTCCTTGGCGGAGGTTTCTGCAACGACAGCCAAGACGTGTCCCCGGGGACATGCTCACCACGTCACCGGCCCAACTGTGGCTCCGTCCCAGGGGCCGGCGCCCCGAGCATCCTCTCCCCTCCCGCTCTGGGCGCGAGGACAGCGAGGGAGCCTGTGCCTGGCGACACTCAGGGACGCAAAGCGGACCGGGCGGTGCGGCTGCGGATTATGACGCCACACACACGAGACCAGGCCTCGGGGCCCTGGGGACGCAGCTTCCTGTGAAGATTGTCTACGTGTGCACAGTTCATGACGCCACGCACCTGTCACTCGCCTCGTGCGTAAATTTATGTTCTTAGGGAAACGGAACTCAGAGGCCACCTGTCCCAGATGTGTACCCTGACCAGAGATTTTAACACTGAAGATTTTTACTAGTGAA